AGTTGCAATTTGCATAGACATCTGTGCATGAAGTCGCACAGATGTCTCGCGAGTCACACCTGAAGTCTCACTGACATCTGACTGTGAAATAATGCGACTACAAGTGAAGTTGCAAGTTTTCAAAGTTGATTCAGTGTGACCGAAGACTGAATGTGTACACTTTTGCTAGTTTTCATAAAACAAGACATTGCACTGTATGACATACTCCATACCACTGCACTTTGTATACTGAGCAGAATGACATACCTCACACCTCTACTACCCCCCTCCTATCTGTCTGCTTGGCTTTGTGTGCTACTACATGATATGCACTCCACTCTGCTTTAGGCTTCATTCACACTTGCATGAATTTGATGGGACTTTAAGTGCGACTTTGATCCAACTTTACACTCTCTGGATCAAAGTTGCATTAAAGTAGTGCAGGCACCTTCTCAAAGTCACTGCAACTTTAAGTTGCACTGATTTGAACGGGGTGCCTTTGAAAAAAAAAGGACTGTGACTTGTCATGTGACTTTGTTGTTCAAAGTCGCATGACAAGCCAAACAAGTGTAAATGGAGCCTTAAGCAGGCCATACATGGGTCAAATTCTGAACGTTTTTTTGCTCAAAAATAAAACACGTTGTTTGTTCTGTAATCCGATGTGCCACCAATGATTTCTAAAATGGGTAATTTTTCACGAATTTTCCAACATGCCCGATAAACAAAATAAGGAGGAACTATGAAAAGTTGTATTAAAGTAGTGCAGGCACCTTTTCAAAGTCACTGCAATGTTAAGTTGCACTGATTTGAACAGGGAGCCTTTGAAAAAAAAAAAGGACTATGACTTGTCATGCGACTTTGATGTTCAAAGTTGCATGACAAGCCAAACAAGTGTAAATGGAGCCTTAAGCAGGCCAAACATGGGTCAAATTCTGAACGATTTTTCGCTCAAAATAAAAAACGTTCATTCTGTAATCCGATGGTGCCACCAATGATTTCTAAAATGGGTAGTTTTTCATGAATTTTCCAACATGCCCGATAAACAAAATGAGGAGGAACCATGAAAATCAGCCGGTGCCATTACCCCATTAACAGAGCGAAAATTGGTCGATTCTTCTTAGGAAGAACAAAAAATCATTTGGAAATCGACCCATGTATGGCCAGCCTTACCCTTAAAGGTACATTCACACCAGGTGTGGTAGGACTGCTTTGGGCAGCTATTCAAGCACAGTCCCACTGAAAGACAAAGCAAAATGCCACGTCTCCTACCTGGTCAGTTCAAACCGCTGTGTTGCAGGGGTGTGCACTGAAAAAAAGTACTGTGTGCACTACTTTTTTTCTAAATGCAGTGTGACATACTCCATCACCGCGCACAGCGGCCAACAGAACCTAATGACATTTCACTGTGCGACATTTCAATAAAATTATAAAGTTAGTTTGAAGAAAAAAAATGAACAGTGAGATATGTCACCATCACTGCACTACTGTCAGCTCACCACACACCAGCTGCTGCATTCAAACGAAGCCAATGGTGTGAATGTACCTTTAAACAGTGCAGTATGACGTACTACATGCCACTCTGCTCTGTCCACTGTGCTGCAAAAGATACATTTCCACACTCCTCTACTATGTACACTGTACTGAACAACATACTATACTCCACACAGCTCTACTGTTTTCTGTGCTATATAGCATATAGCCCAAACCACTCTGTGCCACTGTGCTTTATAAGATATCCTTCACACCTCTCTGTGCCGCTGTGCTGTATGAGATATCCTCCACATCACTTTGTGCCACTGTGCTGTATGAGATATCCTCCACATCACTCTGTGTCACTGTGCTGTATGAGATATCCTCCACATCACTCTGTGTCACTCTGCTGTATGAGATATCCTCCACATCACTCTGTGTCACTCTGCTTAATGAGATATCCTCCACAACACTCCGTGCCACTGTGCTGTATGAGATATCCTCCACACCACTCTCTGCCATTGTGCTTTATGGGATATCCTCCACACCACTCTGTGCCACTGTGCTTTATGAGATATCCTCTACCGTTCTCCGCCACTGTGCTGTATGAGATATCCTCCAAACAACTCTGTGCCACTGTACTGTATGAGATATCCTCCACATCACTCTATGCCACTATGCTGTATGAATATCCTCCATACCGCTCTGTGCCACTGTGCTGTATGAGATATCCTCCATACCACTCTGTGCCACTGTGCTGTATGAGATATCCTCCCACACACCGCTCTCTGCCAGTGTGCTTATGAAATATTCTCCACATCGCTTTGTGTCTCTGCGCTTTATCAGATATCCTCCACACCACTCTGTGCCATTGTGCTTTATGAGATATCCTCCATACCACTCTGTGATGCTGTGCTGTATGAGATATCCTCCACACCGCTCTCTGCCAGTGTGCTTTATAAGATATTATCCACACACCGCTCTGTGTCCCTGTGCTTTATCAGATATCCTCCATAACACTCTGTGCCATTGTGCCTCATGAGATATCCTCTACACCACTCTGTACCACTGTGCTTTATGAGATATTCTCTACACTACTCTTTACCGCTGTGCTTTATGAGATATTCTCTACACTACACTACTCTGTATCCCGCTGTGCTGTGCTTTATGAGATATACCGCTGTGCTTTATGAGATATCCTCTAAACTACTCTGTAACGCTGTGCTTTATGAGATATCCTCTAAACTACTCTGTAACGCTGTGCTTTATGAGATATCCTCTACACCACTCTGTACCGCTGTGCTTTATGAGATATTCTCTACACTACTCTGTACCGCTGTGCTTTATGAGTTATTCCCCACATTTCTACTTCTACTTTTCACTGTATAGCATACACGTCACACTGCTCCACCCTGTCCTAAAGCTATATATTCTCACATTTGATTGTGGTCATGACTGGTTCTCCATATATTCAAATTATCCTCCTACCAAGTGGGTATCAGAAACTATTAAAGTGATTGTAAACCTTTACCTTGTAAAACAACCCATTCAGCTTAACATAGAAATGAAAGGCAAAACATTTGTGTATTTAAATAGAAATCATTCTATACACTTTTCTCCTGTTTTATAAGTGATCACATACCCTCTGCAGAGCACTGATCTTCCCAAGGAATGGCTGCGTGGGGGTGTCAGGACAAATCTGATCATTGGAGGAGAGCACACTGAGTTCCCAGCACAGCTAGAGAACTGACCATGCTGTGTTGTCCTGCCTAGTGTGGTCAGTTTTTAATAGGAAAACAGAGGGACTGGCGGGAACACCAGGGATTTCACAGAAAGGAAGCAATACAAAGAGAACAGGATACTTTTTCATACAAATACATAGTACAGCAGGCACATATCAGGAATATGAAATGCTGGGTTTACATATTCTTTAAAGAATTCTTTAAACTACATGAATTAAAGTGTTACTAAACCCACACCAGTAAAATCAGTCTGTTTATGCAGTAAAGCATAATTGTTATACTCACTGTGGAATCTAAGGGGTTAATCTTCTGCATTGTGTATAAAGGCTGTTTGATCCTGTCTTCTCTGTTCCTCCCTTTTTCAAACAACCGCCACTTATCTCCAAACTGAACCATAGGCATGCACATGCTCAGTTTGGTGTATATTGCTAGAGAGGGTCTTTTTTTTCTTGGCAGATTGCATGTGATCAGCACTAGGCCAATCAGCAGTGTCCAGACAGGGGGTCAGGGGATTTCCATCCTTCTAGAGCAGAAAGAAAACTCCTCCTACAAGCTTTTTTTTTTTAATCCAAACAGCTTTTATTGTCCAGATAATAGAGAAAATAGAACAGTACCTACAGAATCCACAATGACATTACTGCAACAGCAGGATTACACATAAATAGAACAATGTGGATACGCAGATCCCGTAATAAACAGAAGAACAGAAATGGTAATCAAACAAAACAGAGACCACGAGGATCCAAAACTTTCTTGACAATATCTTGCTTTTTCCTTTTTACATCTTATTCTCCTACAAGCTTTAACTAGTGCTGGGCTGAACACTGATAGAAGTCACAAGACTGCTCTAACTGCTGATGAGAAAACGTATCTAGCAGTTTATATTTACTAAAATAATTGACATCTCCATGTTCTGTGTACTGTGGGAGACCAGATATAGTGAATGCAGGGTCCGGGGTTTAGTAACACTTTAATTTAGTTATTATTCATTAAAATGTGAATTGCACATGCATGTATTTGTGTATTGGCTTTCTGTAATTATCTGTACAGAAACTCAACAGGGATGAAGCCAGAACCAGCAGATAACTGGAATATAGAGGAGGCCCAGTGAATATTTAGGGCACATTAAGACTCACAAGGATTTTTATATAAAAATAACTGTTTTCTAATATTTGATTTTGACTATAAACATTTAAAACAAATTTGCCTATTTTGAGTTGTCATAGTACAGTAAATTTCAATTCTGCACATTTCATTTCTCCGCATACATTGCATCACATTACACGTGGACATATGGCCCCAAGAATGACTCACCGAGTCCCTGCTACACATTAATGCTGCTTCTGAACGCACTGTCTCATTGATTTGATTTGATTTGGTAAAACAGAGGCAGCAGCTGCATAAACACGCAATACAGCTTAGCATGTGATGGAAAAATTCAGCATGTTAATATGCATGCTTTCCTTTCTCCCTGTGCACACTTGTATTGTATGTATACATTTAATCACATACAAGCGATCAGTGGGGCTGTGATAATTACAGACAGATGTGAAAAGGTCAACGAGGGGTATTTTTACAATTAGAAAAGGGGGTAAGTGGAGTCAGGGCCCAAACAAAATGATGTTAGGCAAAGAGATGATCATCCAACACAAAGTGGCCAATGGCATGCAACAATCAGGCCATTGCAAAATGAATTCCACATCTAGTGAATGCAGCTATTTCCAGTGCAGCCCCAACACATAGACAAGGCAAAAGCCCTTTAACCTTAAAGTGTTACTATACCCCGGACCCTTCATTCACTATATCTGGTCTCCCGGACCCTGAATTCACTATATCCAGTCTCCCCGGATCCTGCATTCACTATATCCGGTCTCCCCGGACCCTGAATTCACTATATCCAGTCTCCCCGGATCCTGCATTCACTATATCCGGTCTCCCCGGACTCTCCATTCACTATATCTGGTCTCCTCGGACCCTGCATTCACTATATCCAGTCTCCCCGGACCCTGCATTCACTATATCCGGTCTCCCCAGACCCTGCATTCACTATATCTGGTCTCCCCCGGACCCTGCATTCACTATATCTGGTCTCCCCGGACCCTGCATTTGCGATATCTGGTCTCTCTGGACCCTGCATTCAGGATATCTGTTCTCCCCGGACCCTGCATTCACTATATCTGGTCTCCCCGGACCCTGCATTTGCGATATCTGGTCTCTCTGGACCCTGCATTCAGGATATCTGGTCTCCCTGGACCTGCATTCACGATATCTGGTCTCACTACACACAACATGGAAGTGCAATTATTTTAGTAAATATAAACTGTTAAATACCTTTTCTCATCAGCAGTTAGAGCAGTCTTGTGACTTCTATCAGTGTCCAGCTGAGAACATGTTAAAGCTTGCAGGAGGAGTTTTCATTCTCCTCTAGGAGGATGCAGGACCCCTGACCTCTATCTGGACAGTGCTTCCGGTCCTTGTGCTGATCACATGCACTCTCCCAAGAATAAAAAAATAATAATTCAGCAATAACACCAAACTTAGCATGTGCAGCTTGCCCCCAAGGCTGTGTTCTATCAGGAGATAGATTGGGGGCAGCAGAAGAAGGGGAGGATCAGAGAAGACAGGATTAAATAGCCTATTTATACAATGTGGAGGATTAACCCCTTAGGTTCCACAGTAAGTATAACAAGAATGCTTTACTACATATACAGACTGATTTTACTGTTGTGGATTTAGTGACATTTTAAAGGTACAAATACTAGCCTCACCATGCAGGAATATGCATATTATTCTGTCCTATTACAGCTATGTAGGTGTGCTTTTAAAAAACCAGGTGATCACATTGCCTGTGAATTCCCCCTTCAGAGGTAGAGGCAGATGGACTATAGTATCATGCTTATCTCTCTAAATAATCTTTCTTGTTTTGTTACAGACAATAGCAATTATACATGTATTGATTTTTCTGTTTTTGCCGTGCTATTTTCTCTGTTGCGTGTGTGCTCTGATACAGTTAATTATCACTGCTCTCTGATCTTATTATGGGCTAATAGGAGGGGAGTGTCCTTCATTTCACTTAATAATTAATTGATTACTCAAAACCATAGGCCCCTACACTAGTTTGTATTTTTCATTACAATAAACCTATGCTTTATTGGACAAGGGGGAACAGAAGAACACAGAACATATCAAAATTTACCAATAAAGATCAAAAATAGTAACCGAAAACCTTAGAATAATTCACATAAACAGCACTGGAGAAACAAGGGACATTTGTTGTAAGGCCCTTAGGGAACTGGTGGATGAGATGGGTCATCAGCTAGCCATCCAAAGAGCAAATATCTTCACAATATCCATATTATCATCTACAAATATGTAATTCACATTACATCTTAATTATGCCTCAAATAATGTACCCTTCCATGGTCAAAACAGTGTTTTCCAAGCTTTTTTTTCTAAAAAAAAGTCTTTTAGCTTGTTACGTTTAAGGCTTTCATTATTAAGAACTTCCCCACATGAAACACATTGTGTGCATTCTTCTCCATTTCTGCAAGGTTTAGTAAAGTCAAAATAAATAAAATCTCAGTTGCGTTTCCTTTTAGTAATAGACATCTCCAGCTAATTCTGGGTTTCTAACCTCTTCATCTCAGTCTTGTCTGGATATTTGCTTCTGCCCCCCAGCTTGCTCCCTATCCATGTCTGTGTTGTCCTTCATAGTCAGTGTGCTATCACTCTCCAATTGATCTTCTGATTTTACGTTTGACACAGAGACAAGTGGAAACCCATCCCAGAGGCATCTGAAACCCAAGTTGGGTCCTAACCAATAGTTTAAGAAATACTGACTTAATGGATTACTGGCTAGTGTAAGCAATATTGATATGGAAAGTCAATCGGGATCTCATCACTGCATAGTTATTGTCCTACAGGTATAAAAGAAGTCAAATCCAAAAGAAAATCTCCTGTTTCTAACAGCAGACCAGACCACACTTTTTTTAGCTACCTAACAAACCCTGGTTAGATACATGGACATATCATTATACATATCTAAGAAGTGTGCTGCATAAACTTGAGTTCTCTGAATATATCTCATAAAGGAAGGCTGGAATTGTAGAATCTGCATGTGAAAAACTCTCTACTTTACCGAAGTTAGAGCTATAAGTGTTACTAAAAGATAAAATGGGCAGCACAGCGGCTAAGTACTTAGCACTTCTGCCTAGCAGCACTAAGGTCGTTGGTTCCAATCCCAATCACGGCACTACAAAACAAGATATTTTAGACAATTTCATGCTCCCAACTTTGTGGGAACAGTTTGGGGATGGCCCCTTCCTGTTCCAACATGACTGCGTACCTATGCACAAAGCAAGGCCCATAAAAACATGGATGAGTGAGTTTGGGGTGGAGCAACTTGACTGGCCTGCACAGAGTCCTGACCTTAACCCGATAGAATACCTTTGGAATGAATTAGAGCGGAGACTGCGTGCCAGGCCTTCTCATCTTACATCAGTGCCTGACCTCACAAATTCGCTTCTGGAAGAATGGTCAAACATTCCCATAGACACACTCCTAAACCTTGTGGACAGCCTTCCCAGAAGAGTTGTAAAGCCAGGCGTCCCAATACTTTTGGCAATATAGTGTATGTATGTGTGTGTGCATATATTATATATATATATATATATATATATGTATATATATATACAGTATATATATATATGTAAAGCACTGCGTAAATTGATGGCCCTGCATAAGTATCTGTAATAAATAAAATGTTTTTTAATTAAAATAATAAACATGTTATACTCACCTGCTCTGTGCAATGGTATTGCAGAGAGCGGCCCGAACCTTCTCTACTGGGGTCCCCTGCCGGCAATCTTGACTTCTCCTCTTCTTTGTGTACCCCCACGTGGAGACCCCAATTAGCAATTTATAGGACTTAAAATTATCTGCTACTGATGGTTTGGTGCCAGATGCCATAGCATACCTTCAGAGGTCTAGTGGAGTCCATGGCTCAGTGGGTTTTTGGTGGGTGGTCATAATGTTATGGCTGATTGGGGCATACATATTTCTTGTGTTTAAAGCCTCCATGCAGAATAGTTTCAGATGCTGTATGCGCAGTATCTTCCCATAATTTTATAGATGTTCTTTAAAGTCACAAATTATTATTATTTTTTGCAGTAGCATGCATAAGGCCACAATTTACAAACTGGAACTTTAGGGCTCATGTGGATGGGTGCTGTTTTTCTGTATTTTTCAAAGGCAAGTCTCCAGATTCCTGATTACATTGCGGGTGTACAGTAGTATGGATTACAGTACTCAGTTTGCATTTGACCTACTTTAAATTGAATTTCTTTGGATGCAGTAGGCCCTGTTGAGATGTGTTTGCATTTCAAGCAAAGCAGATCAAAGAAAGCCTTTGCTGTGTTTTGTGATTTTCCCCTAAAGTGTTAATAAACCCATGAACATTCAAACTATATTTAGCAGCATAACTCACATGCTTGCTGTATTGCGTTCAGGTTTTTCATCAGTGCTTTCTTTTCCACATACTGAGCACTTGAAAAACTTGCCCAATATATTCCTATCTATGGGATGGCTATACTGCCTTGCAGGGTCTCCCTAGAGGCCCAGTGTAGCCAACCTTACATCCGTTCCTGTCCAGGTCTATAGATGTAAGTAAAGAATCTCTGTGTGCTGACAAGTTCAGGCCCATTAAGTCTCACCCCTGCTCAGACCACCAGCACTTAAATTGGTGGCTGGTTCCCTTATATGAGAATTACATAGTAAGTACTTGTGTTGCTATGGCTAATATGTTGGTGATTTTTTATAGCTATGTGAATAAGTGATTAGATATGTGAATGGTTAGATTTTAGTTATATGTGTTGTGTTTGGAAGATAAGGCTCCCTCTATTGATATGCACATGAACCTGTTGGACTGGTTTATGAGCTGAGCACAAGATGTCAGGCTACAGGATATGATGTAGCAGGAAATGGGGGCGGGGAATAGGACTTTGAACAGGTCATGTGCTCGGACAAAAAGAGAGTTGTTTTGAGACTTTGAAAGGAAATAGATATTTGGTGTTGAACTCTGTGAAGATGAAGGAACCATAAGAAGATTCCATCACAAGGAAACCCAAGTTGAGTAGCTGATTAGTATACTCTTACATACATTGTACATGCTTATTTGCAGGGAAGATAGCTTGTGCACGTTGTATGCATATTTTGTTATACTTTGCATGCTATGAATTGTTTTTTGTGCAGTTGTATATGTAGCCTTTCTGTTTAGTAAAAGCAAAGATTAATACACTGCAGAGTTTTCATCGTTTCCTTGGCTTATACCACAAAGTAACCTTAATAGACATCAAGCAAAAGAGTGCTTTACAGTTGATCAGCTTTACCCTAACAGAGGTTGGACTCTGAGGACTCACTTTATTTAAGGCAATGTTAATATGGACAATATACAGACCAGCCTTTCTCAGCCTTTTGAACACAGAAGAACCCCTGAAATAACTTTTTGATCTTAGAGAACCCTTGCTAAAAATTACTATATCTACTCATGATACATTGTTGTGATGGTGAATGCTCCTTACACTTGCGGTCATTGAGAAGAATTCCCCCCTTACCCTCAGTTCATACTAGTGTTGGTGGAAGCTGATGCGGGACCCGCACTTCATCCTACAACTGCAACCACCCGCAAGTGAGTGCCATTGATCTTAACGGCATGCCGCCTGCACTGGAAATCACACCCGAACTGTGAACCACACTGTAGTGCAGGCTACGATTTCTGGAAAGGTGCAGGGACCTTTTCCCTGTGTTCTGCAAGGCACGGCAGCCCATTTAAATGAATGGGCTGCAGTGCCGCGGCCCACAAAATGGCCTTAGTGTGAACCGAGCCTTAGAGATAGCTAAAAAGATCATTGGTGTCAGGAGGAACTTATCTGAGAGGAAGAAATTGGTCAAGGAACCCCAAGCAACTTCTGGAAGAACACTAGGGTTCCACGGAAAACTGTCTGAGAAACCCTGTTATAGACTAAAGCACTGTAGAATAAAGATGGGTAATAAAAATGTATTTAAACCATTTTTTTTCTTACTTTTCTGCTGGTTCTGCATGAAGGACCAGCAGAAGAACTATGTGAAGTGGGCACAAATGTGCTGTACAATCAATGCAGATTGGATCATGGAATACAGGTGAAACTCAAAAAGTTGAATATCATGCAAAAGTTCATTTATTTCAGTAATGCAACTTAAAAGGTGAAACT